TATCTATCATCTTTATCTATCCATCATCTATCATCTATTTATCTATCTTCTATATCCATTTCTATCTATCATCATCATCTATATCTATTTCTATCTAACTTATCTACTATCATCTATTTCTTTCTTTCTATCTATCTATCTATCTATCTATCTATCTATCTATCTATCTATCTATCTATCATCTATCTATCATTTAATTCAATTTTTATCCTTCCTTTATTATTTTTAGAACTTAATGCAGTGGCCATATCTAATATTCCTTCCTCCCCCTGTTTCCCCCGGTGAGGTGGATGGGGCTTAGAGAGAAGGACTGGCTCAGAGTCACCCAGATGGTATTCATGCCTAAGGCAGGATTACAACTCACCCCCTCCTGGTTTCTACCCTACCACTTTTAACCACTACACCAAACTGGCTCAATGAACATTTGAGGAGCAACTTGGCCTGAGAAGAAGTCCTGGGTCCCCTTAAGATAGACCACTTTTGGAACTTCTCACCTAAATGTAACAATTGTGCCCAGTCACAAAACATTAAATTACCTAGAGACAAACCACCGTGGTTAAGTGCTATCTCCCACTCTCTTTAGCCATGCAGAACTTTTTATGTCCTTCCAGGAAAATGGACCTACTTCCAAATGAAGCTCTGGTCTAGCCTCACTTTCCATTTGGGTTTTCTAAGAGCCCTTTGGGGGGCCCTGCAAATCCAAGAGGCATCGCCTAAATCCTCAATGCTTCCTGTGGCCACTCAAAAGGCCGATCACAGTCTCCAGAAATCTCCCAGTGGCAGATTCCAAATTGTAAATGTGAATGAGAGAGGAGGAGGAGGAGGGAGTTATTAAATGCTTGACTGGAGAGTAATCACATGGACTGTATTATTTTTAATTAAATTTAAATGTCAGGGAAATGAAGTCCATTTCATTTTTGTCTTGATTTCCTTCCATCCCCAGGCCCAAGAAAACCTACACTCCAGCAACTCCCTGTCTGCCCCTAAAAAAAATTGAGTTGAGGCAGCTTCTTGTAGAGCAAAGAGATGATAGATGCTGGGAAGAGCTTCGTACATTTTAAAATTAATACTATTGTTATTTCTAATGCTAGGCTCCAACAAATCAATTCCGAGAGGGTTACATTAAAAATTTAAATTACATTTGGCCCCCAATTTATTTCTTTTCACAACTCTGAGCCGATGCAAACCATTCTTTCTGGGGAACATGGCTCAAACCAAGGAATATCCTGTCATTAAAGGAGGATATTTGTAACCCAGGGTTGAAATGAGTGGGGTTTGAATTTGGTTTGGTTTGGTTTTTTGGCGGGGAGGGTGGGGTTTGCAGACATTTCATCACCCAAACTAGGTAACATCATCAATGCTTTCATGTTGTTACCTAGTGTGGGTAAAGAAACGTCCACAAGGAAACACGCAAGCTTGGAAGAGCATCAAGAACCCAGGAATATGATGTCAGCTCAAAGAAATGGAGGCCCTGCCCTCAATTATACACGACAGTGGCACAATTTTGTCCCTTAAATACATGTTTTTGTGCCATCAGCAATATTGCAGCACCCCAGTATGACCCCTCCCTGTTTCTACATGGATTGGGACATCTCATGATGACAAAATGGTGAACTCTTATGGACATCACCACACCCAACACGCCTTTATCTCATTCTCTATCCTGAAGTGCTGAAGAGACAGCTTTACTTGCACTGATGTTTCCTCTCTTCCTCCAGCACCATCCAATGGGTTCTAGACACCTTGAGGGATCTAGAATCTGTTAGGCCTTATCTCCTATTCCCTCATAGCACGGGTTTCCAAATCTGGCAACTTTTAAGCCTTGTGGACTTCAGCTCCCAGAATTCCTAACCGGCCATCAATTTTGGGAGTTGAAGCCCACAAATTTTAATGTTGCAAGATTTGGAGACCCCTGTCTTAGAGCCATGAGAATGGTTCTGATAGGTTTTACCTACCCTAACCTACCTTTTTTATAGATATAAAGTTTCATTAATTTTCTACGATTAAATTTAATCAGTGCTTAACAAACATCATGTTGTCGTGTTGTTTTGTTTGTTTAACAATACAAATTATGTTCCCAATCTTTACTCCTTTTTTTCCAGCCATTGATAAAATAAATTCCATGTTTGGTAGTATTCTATATCTTCTTTCTGTTTAATCTTGAATGTAAGCCTGTCCAGTAGTATCTGCACAGTCCAGTAGTATCTTCTTAATTATCTTTTCCTCTAGTGAACCTGCCTTTTTGAACACTCCTTCCAAACGCTAATTCCTCACCTTGGCTAAAAGCTCCAGAAAGTTTTGTAACTAGTTGACAAATGGGTAAAACAAACTACTTTTTAATAACCCTTAATGGGCATAATTTCTCTCTGGCTGGACCACTGGCATTCACATTTACAGATCTTACCTTAAGAATAGAGATTACTCAACGCTGTGCCTACTTTCAAGTGGTTTGAAAAGCCCAGTGATTTGAAAACTCCACCAAAGCTATTGCCGGCTATGAAAAATCCAGTTCAAGTATATTTTGTCTATGAATAGTTAATGTTGTTTATTTATCCATCCAATTGTTTGCTGTGGTGTCTAACTGGGGAATATAAATGAACTTTTCAAAGACAGAGTAGCCCTTCAGAATACTGAAATAGTTATTCCCTCAGTGGTGCAATGGTTAGAGTGCAGTATTGCAGCTACTTCTGCGGATTGCCAGCTGCCTGCAATTTGGCAGTTTGAATCTCACCAGGCTCAAGGTTGACTCAGCCTTCTGTCCTTCCGAGGTGGGTAAAATGAGGACCCAGATTGTTCAGGGCAATATGTTGACTCTCTCTAAACTGCTTAGAGAGAGCTGTAAAGCACTATAAAGTGGTATATAAATCTAAGTGCTATTGCTATTTTGTCTGTCCTCTATAGGAACAAGGTAAAGTTGGTTGGAAAAATGCTGGAATGCAGAACAGGACGTGAGGTATGGGAAGAACAGGCACTTCCTACCACAAGAAGTTGCTCTTGGTTTGATTTGCCACCCACCTGAGCAGGTAAGTTTCCAGCAGAATAAAAACCCTTTTTCTGCATATTGCACAGGTCAGATATGCCCAAGCTCAGAATATATTAGGGCAGTATTTCTCGACTCCTGCCATTTTAAGCTATGTGGACTTCAATTCCCAGAATTCTAGGAGTTCAAAGTAGTGGTGGGATTCAATTTTTTTTACTACTGGTTCTGTGGGTGTGGCTTGGTGGGCGTGGCAGGGGAAGGATGATGTAAAATCTCCATTCCCTCCCCACCCCACTAACCTGCTTTCCAGCTCCGTTCTCTCTGTGCAGGGCAACCAAAGAAGACCCAGCCAATGAGCTGGGACTCAATGGGACACAGAGAAGAGATGGAGTTGGTGGGGCCAGTCCGCTACCGGTTCTCCAGAACTGGTCAGAACCTGCTGAATATTACCTCCGGTTTGAAGTCCACACAGATTAAAGCAGCTGAGATGGAGAAACTCAGCATTAGAGTCACTGTGTAATGTAAAATTTTTAAATCCCTTTAGTATTTTCTGCTGTTTCTGGGGATGCTGTGCAGTTAATTATTTTCAGTGTCAATATTTTCCTCCAAGAACAGAGCTTAGACCGTATCTTGTCCTTGATCCTCGTTAATCGTTTTCTGGAAATCCTAAGCCCTCTCTGACTACAATTTCTTCCTTAGAGACTGGTGAGTAAAATGCATTGGAGAATCAATCTCAGGGCCGGGAACTGCTGGGATATTAGGTGGGTGTTTCCAAAGTATAGGCTGTCCTTGACTTACAAAGATTCACTCAGCGACTGTTCAAAGTTAAGACAGCGCTGAAAGTAGGGAATTCTGACTGGCCTTTACACCGTGGCACCATCCCCGGGGCCATGTGGGTTTGCAGCTGGCTTCTCACAAATTAAGAGAGCCAGTTTGGCCTAGAGGTTAAGGTATTAGGCTAGAAAGTAGGAGACTGTGAGTTCAAGTCCTACCTTAGCCATGAAAGCCAACTGGGTGATTTTGGGCCGATCACAAGGAGACTGGGAAGTCTAGTTCCATTTTAGCCATGAAAGCCAACTGGGTGACTTTGAGCCACTCATCAGGAGATGGTGAGTTCTAGTCCCACCTTAGCCATGAAAGCCAACTGGGTGACTTTGGATCGATCAGGAGACTGGGAGTTCTAGTTCTGCCTTAGCCATGAAAACCAACTGGGTGGCTTTGGGCCAATCATCGGGAGACCAGGAGTTCTAGTCCTACCTTAGCCATGAAAGCCAACTGGGTGACTTTGGACCGATCACTACGAGACTGGCAGTTCTAGTCCTGCCACTGGGTGATTTTGAGCCAATCACAAGGAGACCAGGACTTCTAGTCCCGCATTAGCCATGAAAGCCAACTGGGTGACTTTGGGCCGATCACCAGGAGACTGGGAGTTCTAGTCCTGCCACTGGGTGACTTTGAGCCAATCACAAGGAGACCGGGAATTCTAGTTCCATTTTATCCACGAAAGCCAACTGGGTGACTTTGGGCCAGTCGTTTTCTCTCAGCCCAACCCACCTCAACAGAGTTGTTGTTGTGGTGGGGAAAATAGGAGGAGGAAGGTGTGGTTGGATATGTTCACCACGTTATTGGTAAATATAATAAAGGCGGGATATAAATAAACAAAAGAATGATGAAGAAGTCAAGGAGGGAAGCCCGGATTCGCTTAACGAACGGATGGTTCCTTGAACAACCACAGGGATTTACCAGCATGCTTTGCTTGGAAGATTTCCATGTCTGTGGCTGTGCCTTGGCCGTCTGGTGCCTCACGATGGAAGGATAAGCTGCGAAGGAAACACAAGGCAGCTTTGGTTACTTCCAAAAATGGGCTTTCTCGCTCGCACTGGTATGCTTCACGGAAGTTAGCAAAGTCAAGCAATCCCACAACACAGGAGCTTTCGAGCAGACTGGTACCCAGGTACTCCTTTTACAACCATTCATTGAGTGGCCATTCGAAGTGGCAACCTGAAAAAAGCGACTTAAAACCGCTCCTCGCACTTGCAACAGCACCGCAGTATCCCTACAGCCACATGCTCAACATTCATGGGCTTAGCAGCCAGCGCGTGTTTATTTAACACTCCTCGCCCTTACGACCATTTCAGCATCTCTCCGTCACACGATCGCCATTCATGACCTTCCCAACCAGCTTCCGATAAACGGGGGAAGCTGGATTGGTTGAATGACTGCCCGATTCACTTAAAAGCCGCAGTGATTCGCTTAACAACCAGGGGAAAGAGAGGTCGTAGAATCAGGCGCGGCTCACTTCTCAACTGCCTTGCTTAGAGGTGGAAATTCTGCTTCCCCACTGTGATCATAAATGATTTGTAATTCTCATTTCTCTAGCCTGAAACTCAAACAAGCAGGCCTTCCAACATGCAAAAGCACACGGATGGAGTCTAGGTAGCCACCATTTTGGCTGAGAATTGTTCAGCATAACTGAGTTGGGAGGGACCATGAAGGTCTTCTAGTCCAACCCCTTGCTCAACCAGGAAGCCCTATACCACTTCAGACAAATGGTTGTCCAGTCTCTTCTTAAAAACTTCCAGTGTTGGAGCAGTCACAACTTCTGGAGGCAAGTTTAATTGTTCTCATTTTCAGGAAATTTCTCCTAAGTTCTAAGTTGCTTCTCTCCTTGATGAGTTTCCATCCATTGCTTCTTGTCCTGCCTTCAAATGCTTTGGAGAATAGCTTGACTCCCTCTTCTTTGGGGCAGCCCCTGAGATATTGGAAGGCTGCTATCATATCACCCCTACTTCTTCTTTTCATTAAACTGGACATACTCAACCCCTGCTGTTCCCTAAGACAATTGTGGTCGTAAGTCGAGGAGTACCTATTAGGAACAAACAGAGAGGAAAAGACACGATAGGAAGGAAGGGGCCAAAGGAAGTAGAAGCCCCGAAATACCATTCTTAGTATAGAGGCTGCCGTCAGACTGCTTGCTGAAATCCCCGGGTGAACTCTGGCCAATTGAGGGAAATTGATATGGCATCTTGGTTCCATTGCCAACTGGAAAATAGAAGAAGCAACATGATGGTGAGATGGGTAGGACCCCTCCAAGCTTTCCAACCCATTGGGCACAATCCGCAAAGTGCCAAACAAAGAAGACTGATTGGTTGGTTGATGGATTCAATTGGTAGGCCGCCCATCAATTTGGGCTGACAAACCCCAGAATCTTCATCAGGAGAAGATCAAAAATGGTCAAGTCTAGCATGAGGACCACCATGTAAGGACGCAGGTTGGGTTTTCTGCACAGAAGCACTGAAGATCTTAACCTGCTACATCAGGAAGAGAAAAATTGAACACCTGAACTCCATAGAGATCAGGAAACCGTGGGGGGGAATATCCAGCACTTCGAAATGTTGGGGTTTCCATTGGCATAAACCCAGATGCCAAGTTCTCCTCAAATTTTCCAGGGTCCCTAAATTTGTACACATTTTTCTTGCAAAGACGTCAACTAATAAATATTACATTAGCTGATATTTTAAGAAAAGAAAAGAAATCTACCATCTAATCATGCATAATGGTGTTCTTCCTTATTTGCATTTTGGTCTCTTAATAATAATTAACATCATATTGTAATCTTCTAAAAAAGGCCATGATCCCTTTTCTTTTGGAAAGGAAAAACAGCTGCTGCAAAGGTATCCATCAGCTCAAAACAGGCTGTTTTTCAGAAATATATATTTAGCCGTCCATTGAAAGGTCTTAGGCAGGCTACGAACAATGTTTCTCTCTTGATTGTGCCAAACTTGCCCTGGCTGGCTCTTCTGGTTGAAATTTTGACAAGAAAGCCTACACTCCAGCAAACTTTGGTGCAAAGTTGAATGTGAAATTGTGCTGAAGTGGTCTCTCTTTCTCTCTCTCTCTCTGTTTCTTTCAGTGTTTCTCTCTTTTTCCCTCTGTCTCTTTGTGTGTGTCTCTATTTCTCCCTCTGTCTCTCTCTGTCTCTGTGTCTGTCTGTCTCTCTGTGTGTGTGCGTGTGTCTCTGTATGTGTGTATCTCTTTGTGTATGTGCCTCTGTCTCCATCTCTCTCTGTGTGTATCTCTCTTGTCTCTCTCTCTGTGTGTCTCTCTCTGTGTGTGTCTGTCTGTCTGTCTGTCTGTCTGTCTGTCTGTCTCTCTCTCTCTCTCTCTCTCTCTCTCTCAATCTCTGTCTCTGTCTCTCTGTCTCTGTCTCTCTGTCTCTCTGTCTCTGTCTGTCTCTCTCTGTCTTTCACCTTTTTTGACTCCAACTGAATTGTGTTTGTGAAGGCATTCATACATAACAGCCAGACCTAGGTTTCCTGGGGCTCTATTCAACTGCAACGTCTCTTTGTCACCTTCCAGAGCACAGAGCAATTTGTTTTCTTGCTAAGCAATGAAACAGTAACACAGAGGAACTCCTTGACTAAAGTCGGGACACCATTGGACCTAAACTGCTGTTCCACCAAGCATCAACATATGCATAGAGCATCAAACTAATCTGAATCCACTGATAGGAGCACAGCCTCTCATTTGACCCAAGGCAGGTTTAGCAAAATGTTTGAAAGAGCACAGGTGAGAGTTAAGGTTTTCACTGTCCAGTAGGGTCTGCTGATCTCCATTTCTTAGCCAAGGAAGATACGAAAGCTCTCCCAGCTAACAAAGCCTGCATTGTCCGAAGACAATGTGGTCATGTGGCCAGCATGGCTATCTGCCAAAGGCACATGGAATGCTGCTACCTTCCCACCAAAGTGGTACCTATTTAACTACTCACGTTTGCATGCTTTCAAACTAATAGGTGGGCAGGAGCTGAGGCAAGGAACAATAAGCAAAAGTTGAAGGAAAGGTGGAAGCCTTTCAAAAGGATGGACAAATTCGAGGTGAGGCAGGACAAATTACCTTTCAGGGAGTATGCTGAGTTCCCGCTTGTAAGTGTCTCTTCGGCAGTTTGCATGGAAGAAAACTCCCAAGCTCGAGCGTTGTAATTTCCTCCTAAATTTCCTCCTAAATTTCCTCCTAAATTTCCTCCTAAATTTCCTCCTAAAAAAAAAGAATTCAGACCAGACAGCAAGATGAGTGAGGTTCTTCTGGAGTCATCATTGAAACAATGGTAAGCAGGAGATTGGAAGGAGATAATTGACCCTTTGGGGAAGGAATTTTGTTCAGAAACATTTTTTTCCATAATGGGTTCCTCTGAGTGGACATTTAATGACTCACTCGCGGTTTATGCCTTGGTCCAGTTAGGTGGGCACTTACATTGTGGAAGACAGAAATAGACAAGTCAAGATACGCTAGGTGAGCCAGATAAAGAAATGGAAGAATTGTCTCTATTTAAAATATTTAGCCTGTCTATTTAATCATGGCTTGCAGGAGTCTAGTTTAGTTTAGTTTACTTTATTGTCATTGCATCTTGTACAACGAAATTAAATACCATCTTCAGCATACATTACGACTATGAAAATGAACACAAATAAACATCCTTCACATTCTATACATTGAATTGAAAACCTCTGATATTGCATTAATATTGCACTCTACAGTAGAATTCAACAGAGTTACTGCCCTGGGATAGAAGCTGTTTTTCAGCCTATATGTCTTCGTTTTTATTATCCTGTACCATCTGCCAGATGGTAATAGTTCAAACAAAAAAAAGGGTTGCCCAGGACGAGGAGCGAGGAGATTCACATTCTCCTCTCCTGGTTCTTAGTCTGGGGAAACTGGAGCAAGGGTTTGCTTCAGATCAAAGTAAGGAAGAAGAAACCATCTCCAAACACCCAAAGTGAACAGTGGGCTAGGTTGTGTAGAAGGGATGGTCTTTGTTACCTTTTGGAGCCAGGAACATGGAAAACCTCTTCAGGTTATCTGGCTGGTTCCATTCAGAAAAGTTGTTCATCATGTAACGGTGATCACCTACAAAATGAGGACACCAAAGAAAGAATTGTAGTTGTCAGGAGATAAGTACACAGCAACCACAAAATGAGAAGGATTAAGTGTAACTGTCAGTCTTGGAAGCCATTTTTTTTAACTTGGAAGCTTTGAGGCTGCCACATTCAATGCCTGGGAATTTGGGAGGGGGGATTTCATAGGGAGGTAAACATTTAGACACAACAACATTCTTCTCAGAGAGTCAAGGACATGTTGCCCTGCACCTGGAGGGATGTCTCCAGTGGGGATGAAGAATTGATTGGGCCATGTGATGGACTGGTGGATGCAGGGGAGGGATCTTTGATTTCTCTTTTGGGAAGGGAAAACCCAGAACTCTCAGATTCAGGTTTTCCCAGATGTGCCAATATGACAACTCTAGTAAAATGGAACTTTGAGAAAATGTTTCTCTCGGAGTTTATTGGTTTGGAGTTGGTTAGTTGGAATGCTGACATTAGCATTTTAAAAGCAGGGCAACCTGTATTTCTTAGCTAAGACAGAGTTCCTCCTGCACATGGAAATCTAAGGTCAACAGTTGTGGTTGATCATCACCAGACAAGATGGGTGTGGACTGCCTTCAGAACCTATGAGTGATCCATCAATGGACGCTTTTAAGAAAAGACTGGACAGCCACTTGTCTGGGATGGTATAGGTAGATCTATGACAGAAGACTTCCAAGACATCTCTGTTATTCTGTTATTCTAACTGTTTAGTCCAGCATCCCAATCAGTAGGGCAAAGGTGGCAACTTAACCATGAAGAGAACCAAGCATATTACTTGTTCAAACTTCAGCATGCAGAAGTTGGCACTCTGCATGGATTCATGAGACTGCAGAAAACTCATTGGAAGCTGACATTTTATAGTTTGACCTGTCTTTGTGATCAATCAACCAACCCCAACAGATGCCTCCTTCCTGTGCCTTTCCTGCTGTTGCAGCTCAGATGGTAGGAAGTTATCACTTTGGGCATCGCCCATTGAATTCATCCAGCATGAAAATTGCTATGTAGTTGTCTTTAAATGAGATGCCAATTAAAGAAATGAATATTAAGGTCCTTTTTTCCCCTTATGGGCAAAAGCAGGTGAGGTAAGCAGGGTGTTGTGCTAGCTAGGTGTGGCAAATATTAATTTGGAAGAGAATATTTGTAGCTTAGGGTTGAACGGTGGGATCCTTGGTGCTTTCTGAGCTTTGGCGTTTTCTTGCAAATGTTTCATGACCCAACTAGGTCACATTGTCAGCGCTAGAAGGAAGTGGGGTTTGCTCTCTACACCATTCAAAAAAGACAATCAAAATGCTGAAAAGGAAACAAAAAGACCCCAAAAAGCCAACTCCTCAGCAGGAATCAACATCCACATAGGCATGGATTAACACCAAGATTAATACTAGGCCAACAAATAAACAGTAAACAATAAACCAATCAAGGAAATACCGACTCAAACAGTAAATTACAGCCTAATTAAGAAACCAACAAGAACACTCCCACCAACACTGACAGGGGAAGCCACATATATAAACAAAGAGAAAACCCCACTCTCTCCTGTACTGATGATATTCCCTAGTTGGGTCGTAAAACATCTGCAAGAAAACAACCAGATTCAGAGAGCACCAAGGACCCCACAATTCTTTCTTTTCTTCCTCCTCCTCCTCCTCCTCCTCCTCCTCCTCCTCCTCCTCCTCCTCCCTGCACCCACTTCCCTCTAGCAATGATGATGTTCTCTAGTTGGGTCGTGAAACATCTGTAAGAAAACAATCTAGCTCAGAGAGCACCAAGGACCCCACAGTTCAACCCTGAGCTGCAAATATTATCTTCTACGGTTCTTGGTTTTGTCCTCGTTGTTAGGGATGAAAATGTCAAGGTCATGTTCATTGTTGAAATTGCTACGCATGCACAAAAGCAGTGGTGTCCAGGGATGGAGAGATTTGAAATTTACTAAATGCTAAACACAGTGTTGTGTTTAGAACCCTGGTTTTTGTTTACGCAGCAACATCGCACACAGGGACAAAGGAGTGGAGGAGATTCTGTTGCAGTGTTGCACCTGCCATTGTGCAGATGTTGACCTCTTGGCAGAAACTCACAAAATTATTAGCCAAACAGATGAAGAAATACACAGTACAAATATCAGGTTACTTTCCCTTCCCTGCGTAATGTAACTATATTCCTTCCAGTCAAAACTGGGAGGATTTGGTTTATTTAAGAACAACACTTTGAGGAATGTAATATATGCTGGGAGCTATTTAATGATGCACATCTGAATACTCCCACCATCTGTCTCTTCATCCCTAATAGCTTCCATGTTTTGAAAAAGATGTATTTCCAGTGCTCTGCATACATTATCTCAACTCACGGTGCAACAGCCTTGTAATGTAGGCTCAAAGAAGCATTTCCCCCAGTTTAGAGACAAAAGAGGTGAAGCTGGGAAGATGCCAGGATGATAATTATTACTGCAAGCTCCAGTTCTTTCCTCTAGGTAGTGTGAAGAAGGCTATAGTGAATTGTGGAGACACACATACTATTTCAACCCAACTTTTCTCCAATATGGTCACTCTCAGGATACTGATGTATAAACTGCTGGTGTGGCTGAATGTTGGCTTAGCAAACCAGCAAACAAATGATACCTGGAATTGCATTCACCACTGTTCCTTCATATATTCCCTTATATATCCATATATCTATCTACATTTATGTGTCTGTCTCTCTGTCTATCTACATATCTATTATATCTATCATTTATCCATATCTAACTACTATCTATCTAACTACTATCTATCTATCTATCTATCTATCTATCTATCTATCTATCATCTATCTACTCATCAATCCAACTAACTACTATCTATTGCCTATCTATCTATCTATCTATCTATCTATCTATCTATCTATCTATCTATCTATCTATATCATCTATCATCTGTCATCAATCCAACTATCATCTATTATTATTATTATTATTATTATCATCTATTTATCTGTCTATCTATCTATCTATCTATCTATCTATCTATCTATCATCTATCTATCTATCTATCTATCTATCTATCTATCTATCTATATCATCTATCATCTGTCATCTACTTATCAATCCAACTATCATCTATTATTATTATTATTATCATCTATCTATCTATCTATTTATCTGTCTGTCTATCTATCTATCTATCTATCTATCTATCTATCTATCTATCTATCTATCTATC